CTTGCCAGGGAGGCACTTATTCCACTGAGCCATCTCCCTGGCCAAGACAGCTTAATTTTTAAAGTGGGGCTTATAATTTGCTTTGACCTGATCTTTTGAAGTTTGGTGGGTTTTTTTGTTTGTTTGTTTGTTTGTTTGTTTGTTTGTAGTACCAGGGATCGAACTCAGGACCTTGTGCTTGCCAGGCAGGCTCTTATGCCACTGAGCTGTATCCCTGGCCCCAAAGATAATATTTTGAAGTTTCACATTATAGGTGGTGTTTCTCAGCAGATTTCTTTCATTCTTTTCAGTGTATTTAGTACAGGGTCTCACTATGTAGATCGGATTTGTAGTGATCCGCCTATTTTCGGCCTCCCAAAGCGCTAGGATTACTGGTGTGCCACCACATCCAGTCTTAATCAATCCCAGCTCAGTGTGCCCTGGTGGCAGGGCTGGCCCAGCTTGTGGTGCCAGGGATCAGGGATTGAACCCCGGTTCCTGAGCTCTGCCTAAGCAGGCTCTTTATCTGGCTGGCCCTCAGCAGATTTCTTACTGTGTATATATTTCTTATGTAGAGATTGTTGGCCATAGGTCTGTTCAGGGGGACTATTCTATATGTGCACTGGGCTCTTCAGAAAGAATTCCTTTTGTGTGATCCTCCATGAAGAAGTTATTATCAGAAAACTTGGAAAAATTTGTATGTAATACTGTATTTAGGACCAGGCATTATGGTGTCTAACTGTAATCCCAGCACTCGGGGCTGGCTGATGCAGGAGAATCATGGAAAGTTCACAATGAGCCTGGGCTACAAAGTGAGCTCAAGGCCAGCTTGAGCTGCACAGCAAGACCCTGTTTCAAAGAGAAAAAAGCAAAACAAACACCCTGTATGCAATTCTTCTGGCCTTGTTTTACTGGGTAACATACGAGGGAAAAGACAACTATTTGAACTCTATTTGAAAATAGCTAGAGTAGGCTCTGAGGCAGTATAACCTTGGATTAATAAGTAGGGCCATTGTTTTCTTTAAGTTGCTAATTTTTAACAACAGATTTTAAGCTTAAATCCTTGGATTTGAAAAGAGAAGCTTGTGGACTGGAGATGTAGCCTGGTGCAAGCACGCGTGCCTAGGGTGCATTCGTGAGGCCCTGCGTTTTACCCCTACCACTCCAAGCCAAACCAAAGGGGCCTTTTAATTTTATACTTGGAAGAGCTGTGTGAGTATGCTGTCATGGCACTTGTAGCATTTGTATTTTTATCAGCTAAAAGTAGTCCAAAACAAAGGAGAAGAAGTAGTCATCAGTGTAGGGGATTAAATAAGTTAGCTATTCTGCTGCCCTTTGCCTTCTGAGAATACCTTGGCTCGTGGTGTAATCTGGGACTGTTTTAAGAAATTCCGTGCTCTCCGTGCTCCGTGTGTCCTCAGTGAATCTCTGTCACAGTATGTGGGGGTCCTGCTTGATGGTTTGAAAAAGCCACGAGTACCTTGTGGTGGGTTATTAGAAAGTGTACTGAAGTGTCTAACCTATGTCCCCTTCTTTTTCAGGAAACTGAAAATGACTCTTCGGCTCTGCTAAGTCTATAATGGGAAGTGTCACAGTTCGGTATTTCTGTTATGGGTGCCTTTTTACATCTGCGACCTGGACAGTTTTGCTTTTTGTTTATTTCAACTTCAGTGAAGTGACTCAGCCGTTTAAGAATGTGCCCGTCAAGGGGTCTGGTCCCCATGGGCCATTCCCCAAAAAATTCTATCCTCGTTTCACTAGAGGTCCAAGTAGAATATTAGATCCACAGTTTAAACCAAACAAAATTGATGATGTGGTAGACAATAAAATTCAAGATACAGAAAAAGACCACCTGAAATTCTCTTCAGAACTGGGTGAGTACATTTGACTTTTATTAAAAGTGATTTATCAGAGTATTTAATTTTATATATTTAGAGTTCTTTTCATGCTTCTTTACTCAAATACAAACTTCACCCAAAGTGTAAATTTAGTGTTGCTTCTTTATAAAAATTTTACCAAAATAAGCGTGAATAAAGAGCTAAAATTTTTCTTCTAAAAATTTTTTTTCTTTGGAGACAGGGTCTCACAAAGGAATTCAGGCTGGGCTTGAACTCCCTGTACCCCAGGGTGGTCGCCAATTCATGGCAGTCTCAACTGGCTCAGCCTCCCGAGTGCTGGGGTTGTAGGCTTGTGCTACCTGGATCGCTAATACTTTTTAAATGGCATGTGTTTGAAAAAGTTACAGGAGGTATTAGTTGTTTGTAATACAATTTTAATTGACTTCCTTTATTACAGAATCATTTAACTCCTAAAACTCTGACTTAATGAAATGTCTGTTTTAATATTTGTGCATTATATAACTCTTGCAATCTCTCAGAATCAATTATTACATGTTTTTGCTTCTCAGTTATTTGATGTTGCTAGGTCAAAGCTCTGGTTTTACATTTTGAAAACAACCAAAATGACTCATTTCTCCCTAAATTTGCGAGTGCTAGGACTGCAGAGCTGTAGAATTCAAAGGCATCTAGAGTAGAGTGCTGCTTTCACATTCAGTTGGTTCCGTCCATTTCTGTCAGGGTCCCGGTGGTCTTATTGGAAAGATGGAGGTGCTTATCCTAAATGAATAAAGAATTTCAAGAGGCCTTCATAGCAAAACACTCTTGCGAAGGAGCAAAGGTGGGGACTTAAATTTAAAAAAAAAGTTAAAAGCTCTTGCAAAGCTGTAATAATCCAAGTAGTTTTTACTGCTATATGGATAGACACTTAGGTCAGTAGAACAGAACTGAGAGTCTACAGAAAGTCCCATGACATTGCGGGTCAGTTGATTTTCAGAAAGCGTGACGAGACCGTTCAGTGGCAGGTCACTTACTGTGGTAGTCTGTACTCAGGAAGTGTCCAGATTAGTGCAACCAGTGGACACAAGAAGCAGAGGGTTGTGAGTGCCTGCTTCAGTGGGACCAAGGCTTCCCTCAGAAGTGGTGAAATGCTGTGCAGCTTGGGCGCTTCGTGTGTGCGACGTAGGGTGAGTGTGCTGAATGTCAGTGATGGCAGTCTTTACACATGTGCATCGTCAGTGCACACGAAAATCTAAAGCCTGCTACGTTCCATATATAAGACTTAATTTAGCCAGCATGGTGGCACATTGCTGTAATCCCAGCATCAGGAGGCTGAGGCAGGTAGATTGTTGTGAGTTTAAGATCAGTCTGGGCTACAAAGTGAGCTCAAGGCCAGCCTGGACTGCTTAGCAAGACCCTGTCTCAAAAAAAAAAAGAAAAAAGAAAATTAGAAGGAATTAGTATAAATTAGTATTTAAGATCATGTGATATAT